GCTATTTTTCACTTTTTTAATCATCTGTCTTGTCTCCCTTTTTCTATTGGATATTCATACTTTCCTTCCTGATTTGTAGAAACTCATTACATACAAAGACAACATCTTCCAGACTGTATTTCAGGGAACTTTATTGCCCCTTGAGATGTTAATAGGCGTGCTGAGGGAGAAAAAGGGTTTCGTGGTCAGATTTAACACATCATTTCCTAAAGTTAATTGACCATCAAAACTTTTTCTATCACAGAACACCCATTAGCATCGTTCAGGACACTGGTGTTCTGGGCAATAACATTTGAGAAACTGCTCTGTAAAGGATATTAATACTTTATCTGTTACATATGTGGAAGGATATTTTCCCCATGGTCATTTCTCTTTCATTCTACCTGATTTTTTTCATATATTTACATATCTTAATACTTTCTTTCATAGTTTAGTAATTTAGAAGTAGAGACCCTGAAGTTATGCTTTTTGACTTTTCATCCTGGCACAGCCTCTCATGGAGACCTTTGGACAATTAACCTCTCTGTAAGTTCATTTTATCATCTAGAAACGGCAGAAATAAATAGCAAATGCCTCATAGATTTGCTGCTAGTATTAAACTGCTTACTATGGGTCAAGCATTAGATTTGTGTTTAACAGTATCAGGAGCTAATTATACTTATGAGTCACTTTTTGGATGATATAGAAAGTGTTTCCTTCTTCCTATGTTATAAAAAATAAACCACCCAGATTTTTATTTCATATTTTTGTGGAAGTTAATTTTGGTATCAGCCGTGGAGTAAAGGGTTTACTTTTTTCTCCAATGGTCAGCCAGTTTTTTCTCCTGAGTTTTTACTGATCAATTCTCTTTATTTAATTCTAGCATTTTCTTTTTCTAAGTTTTCCTCTCCTGCTCGATCTGTGCTGATACTAAAATCCTTCATTCCTTTTCCTTTTTAGAAAGTTTACAGCTATATTTGCCTAAATCAAGAGCACATCTTGCCAGGCATGGTGGCACATGCCTGTAATCCCAGTGGCTCTGGAGGCTGAGACAGGAGGATCACATTCAAAGCCAGCCTCAGCAAAAAGTGTAGCACTAAGCAACTTAGTGAGACCCTGTCTCTAAGTAAAATACAAAATAGGGCTGAGGATGTGGCTCAGCGGTTGAGTGCCCCTGAGTTCAATCCCCAGTAAACTCTCCCCTAAAAAGAGCACATTTTGATGTATACTTGGAGTTTCCCAGAGACGTTTGGTAGGGCTGAGGAATTCAAAATTGGGGTTCAGAGTCCTCTCTGATGCAGATGGAGCATATGGATCCCACAGGCTTGGAGTTTTAACCCCCGCTGTTCCCTGTTTATCCTCACACGATGCTGAGGCCTGGTGCTAGGGGTATATCTTGAGGAATTCTCTTAGGAATACTTGAACCTAGTGTTAGTCACTGTGTCACAGAAAACTTAAGACCTTCAAGCTATGTGCTGGCCACAGGAAACCTCCTGAGTCTGATGTGTTCTTTTCTCCTCTGACACAAAACACTGAAACTCTTGCAGGAAGCACTTCACCAGCATTGGAGGGAGGGGGAGAAGGTCAGGAGGGGACCTTCTGATCACAACCAGAGGCAGCTCTGAGAGGTTGTGGAGAAGGGCAGGGGAACATATGGAGGAAGGAAGGCTGGTACAAGGCTCCTGACGTCTGAGGTCTTGGATGGCCTCAAGGTGAACACTACCTCCCATCAGGGGCAGCCAATGAAGACTCTTGTGCCAGCCCAGAGTGCCCACAACCACAGGACCAAGCAGGCCCCATTTCCAACCAGATGTGGAGGGAAGGAGAAGGACCTCTGCTTATAAAATTGATCCTAGAAACTTTGTTATAGAATGCAGTAGGAAAAACAAAAGACAATGGAAAGGGAAAATATATAGACAAGGTGGATCTATGTCGTTTCTGAAGAGGAAGCTGCAGCAGGAATTCTGGCTGATATACCAGCGATGGCTCTCTTATTTCCTTCAATTAATAAAACTAAACAGGAAATGAACAAAGAGAAATTCCAGAACTTCAAGGTCCCAGTTCAGTGCTGAAGGCCATTGTGGAGAAGGGTATGCCATACCCAGGGCTACAGGCCTCCGAGCGCACTTGTCCATGATTCCAGTGAACTTTAGGGATGAGGCTGCTAATGCTAAGGAGGATGAGAGGCCTGGAAGGGCAGTCTTTAAAGAAAGAAAAAGAAAACCAGCTCATAGGATGCCGTTGCTATGGAAAGGAAGAGAATATGCAAAATCTGTGCAACTCCTCTTTGGTGTCTCAGGGTAAAGACCATTTGAGAAGGTTGAGAGACAATGTATTCGCAATGTCTCCAGCCTTCCAGGAGCAGTCTCTTGCTAGCAGAAAACCCTAGCCCTCAACCCCCATACAGTAGTCTCTCAGGATCTGCTGATTGCTTCCAAGACCCCTGACCCAATACCCAAATCTGCGGCTGCTCAAGTCTCCTATATAAAATAGCATAGTGTTTGCGTATGACATATACAAAGCCTTCATATTGGTCCAGTCATCTCTAGAGTACTCAAGGCAATGTAAATGTTATGTAAGTAGTTATTGTACTTAAGAAATATGTTCCTTAAGAAATATGGCAAGAAAAAAAATTCTGTACATGTTCAAAACAAACACAATTTCTTCTAAGTATTTTTGATCTGAAATTGGTTGAATTCACAGAAGCAGAGGTTCAAGTGTATCTGACGTGGCCATGGCAGAAGAAGCCACAAGAAGAGGAGAAACTTGGATCTCAGTGACACTGGCTAAGGAGTCTTTAATGAAACTTGAGAGCCAGCACCTGTGCCTTTGCCCTGGGTTTTGGATCATATGGCTTAAGTGCAGAAGTCTCCCAGTCACTCTTCCCCAATATGAATTGTGAGAGTGAGGGGAGAAGTGAGGCATGCAAGAGGAGGCTGGGTCCAGAGAGCCACTCCAGCATGTCTGCTATGCAGATCCAGATGTGCATGCAGCATTGGTATGGCTAACATGTGCAGAAAACCACACAAGCTGGAAATATTTGGGCACTACCTTATCCCATTTCCATTCTTGAGAGTGTCCCTCAAGAATGGCAAGTTTCAGTTTGTCCCTGAGCAGATGAAGATGAGACTAAGCAGCACATTTCAAGCCAGAAATCAAGTGCGTAGCTCTGAGAGTGCCAGGTGTCCTGTTCATGGGCTGCAAGGATTCTATAGAGTAGAAAACCCTTACCACCCAGGGAAAGTCTTGATGAGTTTAATCATCTAAGAGATCACAGTTACTATTTCTGAGCCTTACACATAGTCCATGAAGAATAAAAAATCCAGAAAAATTTATATTTGAGAGAATGGTTGTTTTCTAAATAGACACCAAAGAAGACCCAAACACAAATCCTAGGTTCAGAATACCCAACACCACCCATCAGAGACACCACTTTTCACAATACCACTTTTTTTTTCAGTACTAGGGTTTGAACCCAGGGCTTCATGCATGCTAGGCAAGCACTATACCACTGAGCAACATCCCCAGTCCCATTCATTCATGGCGCCAATTTTAAAAAGTGAATAGTATCAAAGCCGTACCTACTGGGGACAAAGAGAAGATTGTTTTGCTGCCTGGTGCCTTTTTCTTTTTGGCTTTAGACAATAACCCACAAGGGATCTTGGAGCCTTCACACACTATCTAGAGGTTGATGGAAATGATGATTATTGATATGAAATAGCCAGAGTCCTAATTTCTTTAGATAACCAAATTGTATTTTATAAGACCTCAGAGGCACATGAACTTTGATCTTCAAAGTTCAGAGCTGCTTGGAAGAATTAGGATTGACATTGTTGATTTTCAAATACAAATTCTGCTAAATATATTGCATCATAATGGAGTGAGTACAGAACTGGAATAGATCTCCCCTATCACCCCTTTGCGGTTTCCCACAAACCTGAGAGAATTAAAGACCTATGGGCTTAGTGGATACTAAAGGAGATTTGAGGATAACCATACCATTGGGGCAAACCCTCCAGGTATTTCAGGCCAGAGACAATAAGAAAAGAGATCAGAAAAGGCATCCCATGGAGAAAAGAGAAGCCAGGGCCCTCTGCCCTTTAGAATCCTTTGAAAACTGATAAGAAGTGACCTATAAGCAGTGCTCAGGGCATAGTGGCCTCTTTCAGCAAGGTTCTTGCATTAGCATCAGCTGATCCTGTCCAATCTTTTCATTTAAACACAATCACTCCTGTACTGAGAGCTGGGAGTTGTGCTATGTCAGGAAGATGTCAGGAATGTAGCTGTATTTTTTTCTGGCAGAGACTTGACTTCTGTGAGATCCGATACCCTGTTTACAGGTAAGAATTGTTGGCCCTGAGTTATGCAATAAGTCATGAATTCTAGGAGATGTATAAACAAGGTACAGGATAGGCCACAAAACCTCTCTCCCCTGGGCAGACATAGTTTTGCTTAGATAATGCTGCAGCTCCTGAAAGGGTTAGAAACTTCCAGGTTCCAGGGGGATCCAGCGTTCTTTTTGCAGGAAAGCTGGGGGCTTTCCAAGATGGAGCCAATGGCGGCTCTTGCTGCTGTGGCTCTCTAATGGCTCCTATTGGGAGAGAAACAAAGGAAACTCAGAACAGCAGGTGGCCAAGGAAAGAAACCCAGGACCTTCTGCTGGACTAGACCAGAGATTTCTCGAAGTGAATTTGAATTTGACATTGAGATTGGCACCAATTAGAACAACTTGATTGTGCATCCTTAAAATGGTGCTGGAATGGTGCTTCTCTACGAAGACACTTCCCCGCAAGAGTACTGCAGTATGGTTCTGAGAGGCTTAAAAGGCTTTGAATGAAATACATGAACGTTGGAATGCCTTACACCTTCTAGAAATCTGTAACTAGAAGGCATAACTCTGGTGGAGTGTTCCATTTACAAGTCCCAGGCCTCACAGCTTTGATGATACTTAAAATAATTAATTGAATTTTGTTTCCAGTTCTCAAAAATTAAAATCTTAAAATACAAATTAACATCCATACCTGTGAACATTATCCCTGCATCTCCTCCTCGTCTCTCCTGGGAGGCACAGAGAAACCTCCATTTGCTTCTTGAGTGTTTTAGCAGCATATCCCTTGATCTCTCGTTCCTCAGCCACCCCTCTCCAGTACTTTTCTTCCATTCCCATCAAATATCACTTCACAAGCCCCTTCATCTGATTGGTGACTTTCTTCCAAATAGGTTTCAAGACATCCTGGAAGTACCTTTCTGGCAACCCATTGCCCCATCATTTTAAAATGTTAGCCCACTCTTCATTTTTCATATTCTTTTTGATTCCAGGGGTAATAATACCAACCAATGTGCATGTAATCTGGTCTCCTAAAGCCTCTCCAGCTGTTTCAAGAGGATCACACTAAATCCTTAATTACTCCTCTCCTCTTGCTTTCCCTTCCCTTCCCTTGTCCTGGGAGGGAGATCATGGTAGAGGAAAGCTCATCATCTAGGAGCACCCCGCAACTGGCACAAGCCTCTCGTAATCTGCTGTGACCAATTAGACTTAACCCTGGATTTCAATTAAAATCACCTAGGGGACTTTCAAAAATACTGAATGCCTGGATCTCATCCCACTCCAATTACAGTCACTCCTGGGATGAAGCCCTAGGACTGGTATTTTTTAAAACTCTGCAGATGATACTAATGTGCACCCACAGCTGGAAACCACCATTATGCACCATGGTGAGCTATGAGCCATTGTTGAGCATTTATTTGCCATCAGGTTCCAGCCCACACAGTCATGGCACAGAGGAATAGCTCTAGGATTCTCAAATCATGTCATTCCAATTCTCCCACTCACTATTTCTTGCCTATTTGGCCTCCCCTGCTCCAGGCAGAGCTTGTCATACTAAAGAAACTCCTGAGAACAATGAGATGCTCTCCACTTCTTTCATGAGCTCCTCTGCAAATCCCTTTAGAGATACCACTCAATTACTATCATTCATTCAGAAAATATAAATCACCTTTTTGCTTGGAATTAATCATTTTCCATTTTCCCAAGGTGATTCAGAAATGCAGAGCTCACTAACAATAAGTGTGGAGGTGCGTGGGCCTGCAGAACTTCCTCACTGTTCTATTCATGGCGGAACACACTTTGAGAGGCAGCTGACAATGACAACAAAAATCAGTATTAGGGGCTGGGGCTGTAGCTCAGTGGCAGAGCGCTTGCCTACCATCATGTGCAGCACTGGATTTGATCCTCAGCAACACATCAAAATAAAAACAAATTAAATAAAGCCATGCTGTCCATCTACAACAACAACAAAACATTTTTTAAAATCAGTATTATTCCAATCATAAAAAATGAAAGAGGCCTGTTCGTGAAAACACAGTTTGATTAACTGAAACTTTAAGCACTGTAAAAATGCACAGTCAGTTCTAATTCTGTTTGTACCAGTCTTCTTAGAAATTGTACATTTGTTTGCGAAGCATTGGGTTGGATCATTTTGCTGCATGTGGAAACCACGTCAACTTTGAACTCAGAACATGAAATGCACTTATACATAGAGCCCATGTAGTTTTAATGTTGCTAATAACCAGCTGATAAGAATACAGAAAGGAGCATACAAAAATTAGGATCAAGAGTCATTGAGCTAATATTTATTTTCTAAGAATCATCATCTCTGAGGTAGGTTATCAGTCATCTCAGCAGAGACTCCTTCATTCATTCATTTACTCACTCATGTATTCCATAAACATTTTCTTGGAAATCTACTGTGTTCCAGGTATTGTGATATGAGCTAGGATTAGACTAATGAATAAAAACAGTCTCAGTCCTCAAGCTCTGTGATCTGCAGCCAATCATAGAGATACACAATGATCTTTTCTTTTCCCTGGTGTGCTCTACTCCCATGTCTTTGGCTAAATGCTATTCAACCTTTTAGATATTGAACAAAATGTTACTTCATCTAGAAATCCTTCCTTAACCCTTCAAGTCAGGGTCAGGGCCTTTCTATGTACCTTCATAGCATCCAATGCTTATTCCTATCTTAAGACATTGTACTTTGTTTCAGATATCTGTTTATTTGTCTGTATCCTCTCACCAGACAGTGAGCTAGTTAAGGACAAGAACCATTGCATGTCCATCACTGCAACTATAGTGACTCGTATTATGCCCAGCATATAATAGAAACTTAATAGATAATTATCCAATAACAAAGTGAATTTGTGATAGACGCAGTCACAGGTTAATTATGAGAACTCAGGGGAAAGACACCCAAAGAGACGTTCCATAGGAGGTGGCTGCTAAGGGAAGTTGTAAATGATAAGTCTGGTTTTTCAGACTCAGGTTTGCCAGATGGGTAGAGGGAGATATTCCAAGCAGAAGGAGGGAAAGAAAAAAAAAAAAAAAACATGGAAACTAGAAGAGGCACAGTGGATACCAGAAAACAATCGGCAAGATGGTTTTAATGCAGTGCAAAATGTTAAGGGACTGAGGAGGAACAAAGCTGCAGCTGCTGGCTCAAGGTCATGGGAAGAGGATTCTGCATACTAACTCCACTCTGCCTGCATTCCCATCTAAACAAAGAAACACACAGATTAGAGGAGTCCCAGGAGGGATCTCCAGGTGCTACTCGCTTGTTTCCAAGCTGTGTGATGGTCCCTTGAGTTATAAACCTTACTGAAAACTCTTCCCTGATACAAGAGCCATTCTTACCCTGCTCTTCAGGATTCCAAGAAGGGGCATTAGAGAGAAGCCATCAGGTCACCTCTTAAAGAAGGTTTCTTATGACAAATCATGGGTAAAATACCTTATTTGCCTGGACAGGTTCACCTTCCATTAACCAAACCCTACCTAACTCCTAGTTCTTTGTGGGCAGCCCTAAAGCAAATATCTTCCCTCATTTCTCCTCACTCTGTTGTGTTTTAAGCATTAATCTCAGTGATTTCATCATTCAATGAAATCAATATCCCACATAAGGTAATCCCATACCATAAGACAAGTAATGCCTAGAACCCACTTCAGTTTTAAGAAAACCAGCTGAAAACGTTCACCCACTAACTCAACAACCACTTAATGAATGCTTTCTCTATGTCAGGCACTGTGCTGGAGTTTGGAAATTCAAAGATGAAGGAGACCACTCTCCTTAGAATCACAAAGATGGTTTCATGAAGGTCAAGGTGGTATGGATCAGATAGACCAGAATCATTTCAGTGCCCATACAGAAGGAATCAGAGGGGCTAATAGCATCATTGTCTAAATTTTGCTCCTTGCTGCTTGGGCAGGAAAAAAAAAAAAAAGAATCATATCTATGTGACTGTTCAAAAATGAAGAAGGAGCTCTGGAGTTATCACAGTACACAGGAATGGAAATGGGATAAACTGAAACAATATGCTTGAACACTTAGGAAAATAAAGGCAGGGTTGGGGGTGAGATCATAATCTTAGCATGTGATTTCTATAACCCTATGATTGTTTCAAACAAATTAAAGCACATTGCTTTCTTTCTGGAATTGGAGTAAAATTGGATCTTGCCACCAGCAGACCATTTAGAGCTCCTGGCCACTGTGTTCTGGCTTCTTGCCATGTGTCATTAGTGACCTATTTTCAATGCAGTGAGATCAGCCATGTCTGAAGTCCTCTGAATCAGCAGTTTCTCCTGCACTCACTGCCTCCAGGCTGGCAAAGCTGACACCAGCATCACAGAACATGCCACCCCCTGCACTCTCCCCGGACATGGGGAAAGCACTATTTTGTTGTAAAGATGTCGGTTTTTGACCCGAGGCTGCCTTGAGAGCCCAGGTGTCCTGCCTTCTCCAAATAAGCTGCTGAACTTGGTATTATCTTAGCTGAATAATTAATTGGGACTAAAAATAGCCCCAAACTTCCTGGGATTTGCTTAAAACCTACCAGGTGGAGAATTAGGGTGTTGTTGCTTTTTTATATCTAATCATAAAACTGTATTTTGAAAGGCTTTGCACAAAAAAAATACAAAAATAATTACTATGTGCTGAATAAGGCGACAATTCACAGTTAATCTGGTTTTCTTCAAAGGGAAAGAAAAAGCAATCTTTTGGATTGCATACTGACTTGAGGTGACCAATTGTTGGTGGATATTAAAAGCAGCCAGGAATTGCACTTAGAATCTTCTAGGAATACATTCAAACACAAATCCATGGGGGAAAAAATACCCATTGGTTTAAAAAGCTGCAAAAGATAGCCTGTTACCAGGCAGATTGGACAAGGAGCCAAGTTTCACAAGAGGGCGCTCCTCCAGCCTTCCTTCTTCAGCTGAGGGCTGTGTGTTTCCCAGAGCATGGGCTGCTTTGGGATTTGCCCTTCTGCGCTGTGTTCCTGAAAGTGAACACCCAGAGTCCTGCATAACGGGGCTTCAGTGACCACATTCTGTCTGGCAGCATTCAGCAAACGCTATCGATGCTGCATCAGAGAAACAACTACGAATGACAGGAAATCAAACAAAGCATTCACAATAAAGAGAGAGAGAGAGAGAGAGAGAAAAATCATCTCAACTGATTTATCTCCATAGTTGTCTATCCTGTATATATGCCTTTTCTTGATACTCTGATGATCAGAATATGATAAGATGTAATGAAAGTGCATTCATCACAAAAATCTGTGTCCATCCCAGTGTCTCAGAAGCAGATGTGGTGCCAATTAAACAGCGGGAATTGCCAGGGCCCAGGTGTATTGGGGGAGGTCTTTCATACTTGCTCTCATTTCTCCCTCTCCCACCCAAGCCAACTTCACCTCTCACTCAAGTAGCACACTAGGCAACCCCCGCTGGGACCATTCCTTTCTGCTCTGCATCCCATGGCCTCTGTTTGTATGAACCCTTCTCTGGTTCAAAACTTATTTATTTTACCTCCACAAAGACATTCAGGAAGGACTCTCTGGTAGACAAAAGAATAACTTGGCTCTACTAAGACATAAAAAAAGAAGTAGATAGAGGGATGCAAACCAATCAATGTGTGACTTGGATTAAAAAATAAACACAGATCAGGCAGCAGAACCCTGAGAAGACTTCCCTAACCTTTACAAGTACACGCTCATGGACTTGAATTGGAGACCAAGACGTTACCAGACACCACACCATGAATTAGAGTCACTTACCCACTCTGAGACTCTGCCTTCCCATCTGAGAAAAAGTATAACAAAAATAAAAACTCTTTACCACATATTATTCTGGAGCTAAAAGAACATATTATCTTTCAAGGAAGGAAGGAAACATTGAGTTAGGTATTATCATTATCATTAACTCATATTTCAGCCAAGAGCCATCACTAAGTTTCTTCTTGAAGAG